AGATAAGGCTTGGACGAGGATGATGAATTATTTATCTGCTTAAGTAAAATTAACTAAAAAGTTAATCGGGTGAAGCAATGCTTTAATAATAGTAGTAGTAGTAGTAATAATTTATTATTCTTATTATTCTTATTATTATAATTATTATTACTACTACTACTGCTACTATTATTATATCATAAATTTTTGCTATTTTATCTCTTTTTATATCATTTTATCATTTATTGACATCTTTTACACAATTTTACTATTTTTATCATTAAATGCTCTATTTTATATATTTAATTTTTATTACCATTATTGTTTTTTTGTTTTATTTTTTGTTATATTTATAATAGTTTTTACTATTTAATCATTTTTACATTATTTTTATTTTTATTGATACTATTTATTGATTTTTATCATATTTTATATTTTGTTTTATTTTTGTAATATTTTTACAATATCCTATTACTTTAATCATTTTATTTTACTTTTATTTACATAATGACTTTCAAGGGTAAATTTGTAAAATACAAACTTCTTAGACGTCACAGCATTCAAATTACTGAACAATCCCACCATATTCAGATGTTTGCAAAAGCAGAAAAGCAAAATTTCCTCCAAATGCTTTTAGAGCTTTTTCGAGGGTTTATTTGCTTTTCAAACTTTAGACTTTAGTTTACTGAACACCACCTAAGAAACCCAAAATCAGGTTAACATATAAATAGTAGAATTTCCCTTATCTGAAAGGAAGCCCACAACTTTTTTTCTCATGCGAAACAAGACATGCGACAACAAAAAACACTGATTAGATGAATGTTTTTATCAAGGACAATTTGATTGGGTTTGATGGATTAGTAAGACGTATTAATTGAATTGGATCAATGGAGATTTAGTGGTCTAAATTGCAAAGTATTTATTGGATTGGATTTATATTGGATTTGGTCACATTGAACCAATATTTGGTCCATTAACAGAAGATAAAGGGTACAGATGTTAATTAATGGATTAGATTGGTCCAAACATTGAATTGGATCAGTCCAAAATGGTTCAAAATATTCATCAAATTGAATTGGACCTAGTCTATAATGACTCATATTGGACCAGGTTGGGTTAAAACCAATATGTAGTTCATTGACAATCCTATCTCCACAACTCATGTCTATTTACTAACATGCATCTTTTCCCTAAAATACTTCTCGGGTGGGAATGATGACCGAGTGAGAGGACTCTTTGATTTTGGGTTAAGTCTTGAGTGAGTAAGAAGATTACTTACAATGAAAGGATGTGGTGTTGTTAGTTGTGACCAAGGACTAAAGTATCAATATTGAGTATCGAATCATACAACTTGGATATGGATACCGATATACTTTGGAAATGCATGGATACTAATGAAAATTATGAAAGTGCTTGAAAATGCTAGGAAAGCATATATAAATTTCATAAATATATTAATAACACTAAATTTAAAATCAAATAACTACAAATAATGAATAAATACGTAGACAATGTATTACTTTAACAGTATATATGAACAACTATATTATAATTAATATGTTGAGATGCATAAATGTCATATAATTACTTCTCCCTTTCTTTCCCTCCCGTCTTCTTCACACTGTTGGTTGCTAGGTGGACGTGGAAATAGGTTGAATTGTGAGATAAGTATTTATGTATTAGCCTTTGTATTTATCCAATATGGTTATATTAAATTAGGGCTATAATTGTCATTTCCGCAAATATAAGTATTTATAGGATAAGTGATTCAACAAACACTTGAACCTCCAGAGGTTTGACCTAAAATACTTATACCTACCCTCTCACTTTTCACACGACTTAAACCTCCCTTGTCAGAATAGGGGTGGCATTATATTTAACTGTATTAATGAAAAGACCATTTTGGCCTTCGAAATTCTTTAAATTTATAAAGAAAACCACCGAACTGAATAACGGAGCGTTTTTTTTTTTTTTGACAAAACTAGCAAACATTGACTGTATTCTGAATCACTTCACCGTCTATTTTGTAATATCACTTCATCGTCCACTCTTTGTATTCTGAATCTCTGTATACACAGATAGTGGATGTTGACGTTAATCTGGAACCTGTTTGGCGGTACAGGAAGTGCAGACCTAATATGCTATAAAAGGACCAACAGCCATAGTGAGTACCCAGGGGAACAGAGTTCTGAATTCCCCAGTTTTGTAAGCAAAAAGAGGAACTCTGATCAATTGCTACCAGAGGGGGGATCTCGATCTTGTGCATCGATAGTTGTTCATACGCAAGCAAAGGGGCAATGAGGGGTTTACAAAAAAATTTGGACGGAAGACTATGGAAGGGAACTTTTTGGGTTTAATATCGTAATATATTTAAAAAAATTTAAAAAATAGGTTAAATTTCTAAAAATAATATCAATAAAACACAAAAATATTATTCATGTTCACTAGAGCCGCCATCCGCCGCTGCCCGCTACTACTTGCCACTGCTGCCCGCCGCCTCCAACAACGTTGCCAGAGGTGGCCGGAGGCAGAGGTGATAGTGGCGGCAGCAGCGGGTAGAGAAATGACCACCGGCGCTGCCGCCACCTCTGCCTCCGGCCATTTCTAGCAACGTTGTAAGAGGCGGCGGATGGTGAACAAACAGTAAGTTAGAAGAAGAAGATGAATAATGTTTTGAAAAATTAACCTATTTTTTAAAATTTTTTAAATATATTATTTTTTTTTATATTAAACCCTAAAAGTTGCCTTAAACATAAAAAGAAGGTTTAACCTTGTTATAATTATCAACCTCTTTATTGGAACCTACTGTTATATGTTTGGCATGGATGTTGGAAGCACTTTTTCTCAGAAAACTATATATTTTTTTGTTAGAAACTTGCTGTTAGGAGTTTTAATTTGGTACCACTGTTTTTAGCAAAGTATCCAGAAAGTCCACGTCTAAACCACACCTTCTCGATTTCTACCGTTTTTTTAAAAAAAAAAAAAAAAAAAAGACAGTTTCGAACATATTAACATCTCCTGGAGCTCCCTGTTTTTTTTTCCATCGTAGACGGTTAAGAAGTGTTATGCACTCTGAGCAATATTATTGATCTCGGAAGAAATTAAACGTCATATATGTCTAACCAAAATCAAACCAAAGTTAGGGAAGCATGAAAGTCTTACATCAATCTGCCGATCAGCGACTGCAAGATGCAGGATTGTGTTGCCATCATCATCTTCGGAGTTCACGAACTCATAATCATCACCAGTTGAGTTCACCAACAGCTTTAGGGCTTCCAAGCGATCATGCTTGACGCAGAGGTGCAGGATGGTCTGCCGACGATCCACAAGCATCCGGGTCGCTTGGGGTCTCATCCGAACCAGCTCTTTTACCACCTCCACTCGGCCCTGAATCGCTGCCAGATGGAGAGGGGTGTTGCCATCCCGATCCCGAGCAARACAAACTTCTGGATTGGCAATGAGCAGCWCTCTTACAAGCTGAAGATGCCCATTTGCGGAGGCCAAGTGAAGGGGTGTTTGTCGCCGTCGGATGTCAGGCTGGGTAGCAAGCCGAGGCTCGCAGCAGAGAAGCTCTCTACCGAAATCGACGTGACCCAGCACAGATGCTATGTGCAGAGCAGTTTCAGTGGGACAAGCCACACTGGCTCTATGGAGAATGAGCTCGTCCTCTTCAAGCAATCCGTGCAAGGAGTTCACACTCCCTTCCAAGGCTGCTTTCCGAAGCCTCTGCATTCTCTGCATCTCAAAAAGCTCTATCTCATCTCTCTTGATTTCCATTCTAGCTATATATGTGATTAATTAATCAAACAAGTACTCACTATGAACCCACAATTGCCTTCTGCGTGCTCCAAATATATACTACTTCGGTGAGCTCATTGGGGAATTCAAATAGAGTTATTGTTAGACGTTTGGTGTGGCTGCGAAATTCAACAGTTACAATAAAAGATGTCGTTTGGTGTGGCTGCTGAGATTTCAACAGCCACAATTATTGCTCTACCATTTCAATTCCACCAAAAACTGCTCCATTTATTTTGATTCATCAAATTCAGCCCCTCCATTTTTTTGCCAGAATTCTAGGGGGCATGTTCCCTATTTTCTTCTATAAAAGGGGAGCTTCCAGGGAGTAGTAGAAGGATGGAGAGAGAGCATTAGAAAGCTGAAGAGATTGGGAGAACTCCATCGCCATCTTTCGGCAAGATCTGCTCCTATTCTGTTTGGGATCGGTTTTCTTCTTCACTGCTACCATTAAGGGTTCTCTCACACTAGATCAAAGCAGTCGTCTATGCTTTTGAGTGCTTCAAGGCTTTGTTAAAGGCATTTCGGCACTAGTAAGGTGTTCAGTTTGTAGTTCTCTCATCAAGCACATGAATAAACAAGTTTTTTCTTTCTTCTCCCGTGGATGTAGGTCTCTTTGACCGAACCATGTAAATCTGGTGCCATCTTTACCTTTCTTTTGCTCTTATTATTTGCTTTATAATTCACATATTTCTCAATTATTTTCTTGTTTGCCATACTAATTAATCGGTAATTCAGAGCTTAATCCTAACAAACTGGTATCAGAGCAATGTTTTTTTTTCGGGATTATTTACCGATTAATTTTGTTACTAATGGCATCAATGAAGTTTGACATTGAGAAATTTGATAGATCTGTGAATTTTGGTCTATGGAAACTCAAGATGAGAGCGATTCTGATTCAGAACAGCTTGGAGAAATCCTTGGAGGGGCAAAAGAAAAAGCCTGAATCCATGTCCGACGAAAAGTGGGAGGAGATTGATATGAAAGCCATGTCGGCTATTCATTTGTGCTTATCGAACGAGGTTCTTCGTGAAGTTGCTAAAGAAACCTCTACAGCAGAATTGTGGCTCAAGTTGGAGTCACTCTATATGACAATGAGTGTCACTGTTATGGACACACCGACCGGCAGCGCACTGCGGC